TGCAAAAGGGAGCTTTATTTTTGCTTCCTTGGCACCATGAGGTGAGCAGCTCTCCTCTACCATGCTCTCCCCATCATGTTCTTGTTTGCTACAGGCCCGCAGTGGTGATGCCAAGCTGCATGGACCTCTGAAACCATGAGCCAAATGAAATCTTTTCTTCCTTTAAACTGTTTCTTAGGTATTTTGTCACAGCGATTGAACACTGATTAATATATCCATTTACTTGATATTTGTACTTTTTCATGGAATAGAGGCACAGAAAATATTCTCTCTGCTTGTATTAATGTATTCAAATGATGTATGACTAAACTGAAACAGAAAGGTCCAATATCAAGGGACAGGGGCGTTCAGTCACAGTCTCTTAAAAAGGGGAAACCACTAAGATTTCTTTTCGTAAAAACCTGTGGAAAACAAATCTTGGTCAATAAGTGCCAACAGACTTTTTAGTAATTAATTAAAATCTGAGCTCTATTCAAAAGCATGCCCTTTTAAGCTTCCTTGCTATCCCAATTCCATGAAAAAACATGCATATTTCACTGAGGCAAGCATCTCAGAAACGTAATTTCATCATAAGAATGTAGTTACATAAAGAACTTGTCAAGTGAATGCGCCTACTGCTTTTTATGGGAGTGGGTCATGTAATCTGAATGCTTAATGTGCAATGAAACGCTACATTCAGAATTCTGAAAGCGTGTGGATCAGTGCATAGAAGTTTCTTCTACCAAAGAATGGGAATGTTACAATTACCACACACAATTACAATGTTTCACATATCAGAATCATTACCTGCAAGTACTTTTTGATCACAGTTTCACATAAAACACAGACATATATTCTTGTTCACTAAAACTTATGAGGCAATTCGGGAACCAGAGACAGATTCACTCACTCACTCTCTGTTTCTCACTGGTGAGCTGCAGATGGTCTTAAGTCGTGAGAGTATCAAAAAGGAAGGGTATTTTTCTTTGTAAAAAGTATGAAGGTACAAAAATTGTCTTGGCAGATAACACTATCCCATGATATTTATTTAAAATTTTATCATTCCCTCCCATTATCCTCAACATAATGTTCATATTTTCATTTTACAGGAAAATACCACCTAATGACTTTAACTTTAAGCCAGTTTCTTTTGAAATCAAGATAATTTTGCTATTTGAAAAATTGTTATTTTATACAAGCAGTAGGGACTCATTTTTCAAGGTGCTTAAGGCAGAATGCTTAAGGTTCATGCTTGCTGATTTGCTTGGGCTTCTGCTTCCTCTGAAGCAGGCGGTGCCTTCAAGCCTAAAAAGGCATACACTGCATTATTTTCTCAGGCTTCAAAGAAGGCATCATGGTCCCTTGGTAATGGCTTTCAGTGAAAATCTGAGGTGGCAGGGGATACCCTGTGGCTGGTTGACTGTTTTCAGGTACATTTTCTCTCATCCGCTTCCGATTCTCTTCATTGGCTGCAATATTTTTTTCTTCAAATCCTATTTTGTTGCCTTCTACGAAACCAAGCCCATCTTGCTGTTTCTTCTTAATCTCCATAGAGCCAGAAGAAGATGCAATACATACACAGCTCACCGTCCTGGGAACAGTGGCTTGCAGTTGTTTGGATCCTGAAAACGGCTGCAGAGCAGCTGCAGCAAGGCTGGACCTTCTTTGTGTGGCACCCATGTACATTCCCATATTAATAAATCGTTGTCCATTTTCTCCCGTTAATCGGCCTTTCAGTATGTCACAACAGACTCTATGGAGCCTTCAGAGAGTCTGAACTTCTCTACATGTACATATGACTACTGGAAAAGACAAAATGATCCACTGCAAGCCACTTGCCCTGACACCTTTGAGGATGTGGCTGTCATGTTTGCCCTATGTAAATTCTGTGCAAATTGTGCATGCAAGGGTCCTGGGGCAGCACCAAGTGAGTGCTCAGAGGCCAAACACTACCTCATTTATCTCTTACAAATGTCTTATGAAGTAGTTGCAGTTGTTGCCCCATTTTACAGTTGGGGAAATGGAGTCCGAGATGGGCTTCCAGTTGGGAGGCCAAGGAACTGAGGGCATATAAGCCCACGCAGGCTGACCTGCAGCTGGTGTGCTTCATCAGGAGGCTGTGTGGGACTTACACCCTGCCCGCTGAGGGAGGAGGAGGAGTCAGAACCCCCCCAGTGCCCGAGGAGTATGTGAGGGAGACGCTGTGATTCAGAGGGAGAAGAAAGAGCCGCTCGTGTGAGGGTGCTTCTCAGGGCCACTCAGGAGGGTCCCACACACCGGGCACAGAGGTCTCAAATGACCTATTGGCGGGCTTGGGCCTTACACATGGGTGGTGGAGAGCCACTGGCAGGTTTTGTTTGTTTGTGGGCACTACTGGGGAGGGAACTCAGGGCCTTTGCTCTGAGCTACATCTCCAGTCCTTTTTCATAGTTTGAGACCGGGTCCCACTAAATTGCCCAGGCTGGCCTCGAACTTGTAATCCTGCTTTAGCCTCCCAGAGTGCTGGGATTGTGGCCATGCACCACCACGCCCAGCCTACACAACCTTCTCTCTACCATCCATGTCGGAAGTATAAAAAGGAACTTGTCTCAGTAAACGACTCATGAAACCCAGGAAGCAGTAGTGGCCTGATTTTGGGGGCTCCATTTGCGGAGTTTGGGGCTCACTCCTGCACACTTGTGGGCCAGGCTGCAACCCTTGCTTCATCTGCCGCTACGGACCCTTTCTGGGGCCACAGGAAGAAGCCTGACACCGGGCTGCTGTCTGTGGGGCTGGTGGCATTTGTCTGCATGTGGCTGGCTCTGCAGTGCCCCCAGTAAGTACGGTTTGAATCAAGGAGTCCTTTGAAGTAGCTGCCCAAAGCCACTCCAAGAGAAAAGGTGTAGCTGGGAGACCACGGGCCACCTCCCTATGTGGGACCCAGCTCAGAACCTGAGAATCCTGGCACAGGGTGGATTGTGAGGTCACATTCTGTGCCCTAGGAGGCCTGGCCCGGCCTCCCCATGCCCCGCATGGGATGGCGCATCCCCCCTGGCCTTGTGGGTGGCTTCTTCATGTCACCCACTGCCCAGCCACTGCTGCGCCATAAGTGAGCTCTTCGCAGGCCGACCTCAGGCTCCCTCCCTCCACTCCGGGTGTCCCCCTGGGGCTGGCCATGCCCTCCACAGTCCAGGAAGCAGGTAGGGGCCCAGGAACGGGCAGCTGGGGGCCTGACGGGGGGACACAGGGACCTGTTGGGAAAGAAAAAGGCAGAGGGGAAGGAAGTGGGGCCTCTGCCTCAGCAGTGCACTCTGTCCCTCCACACAGTGGCCTCTTTTCTGTGCCAGGGCCATCCTCATGACTGTCCTCAAGCCCACTTGTCCCACAAAGCCAGGGCTCCATGACAACACTGTCTCAAAACCCCTGTTCCCTGCAGGAGTCCCCTAAAATCACTGGCCGAAGGTAGGCCCAGGAATCCTTTCTGACCAAAGGGTGTCATTTCTGTGTCAACCCAGCTGTGGGAGTTTGTCTGGTGTCCCAATGGGAGAAGATCCCTGGTTGTCACCAGCTTCAGGGCCCTGGTGACTGGTGACCAAGGTGCCTTGTGTTCCACCTGGTTCTCCTCTGCCTTTGTAAATTAGTGGGTGGCTGCCAGATTCCAAGAGAGAGACTTCTGTGAACCTGAGGAACTGGCTTGTGACGGAGAGAAAGGTTGGGGAGATGACCCCTTACCCCAGGCGCACCCTGTGGTCACAAAACTGCACCGAGGGAGATCCCAGAGAGCCTCAGTCTTTCCTGCCTCACTGGCATGTCTACTTCTGGCTGCCCTTATTTTTTTTAAAACCAGGAACAGCCTTCTGGTACGATCCAGACATATTTCTAGTCCAAAAGGAGATGCACTTCAGAGTCTATGGCTACAGCTCGATTCTGGAGGAGAGGAAGGTCCGAATCCTCATTTATGGGCCAAGTGATCCTGGGCACATGGCCTTGAGTTCAGTTAAACATTTATCGAACACCTACTATATATGGGTGCTCTGGCTTCAGAGAGGAGATGCAGTCCCGGCCCACAGGAGGTTTGAGGAGCCCCACTCAAGTGAGCAGCCAGGATCTTTCCTCCTCTGTGAGCTGGGGCAGTGACATCTCATCGTTCTTGCCATTTTCTGAAGCACTTCTGGAATATCCCGGCCTCAAAGTTTGAGATCCTCCTGCCTCACCCTCCCAGAGTTCTGGGATTACAGGAGTCTGCCACCATGTCTGCCTCATTCGCTGTATATTTTGTGTGACTGTCTTTTTGTGACTGCCTCAGTGTCCTGAATCCCTTCAAAATATTGACAGAAATTTCTGTCAAATAACAACATGGCAGTGTGTTCACCTTATTCACTGCATCCAGCACTGTGACTTCTGGCTCTTCCCCAAAGTCAAGATGACCATGGGAGGGAAACATTTTGAATCAGTTCAGGACATGGAGGCAGCCATGACAGCACAACTAAAGATATGTATAAAGAGGACTTCTAGAACTGCTTCAGAGAGAGGCAAGAACAGTGGGAAAATGTGTTCAAAGCATTGGGGAGTATATTGAGAGGGTATTAATCGCAATGTGTGTTTTACTGTAATAGATTTATTCATTTATCTATCTATTTATTTATTTAGGTATACTGGGGATTGAACCCAGGGCTTTTACGTTAAGCTATATCCCCAGCCCTTTTTAAACTTTTATTTTATTTTTTTTGTGACGGTCTTGCTATGAGTTCAGGCTGGCCATGAACTCACCGTGTAGCTAGGCTGGCCTCAAACTCTCTGAGATCCTCCTGCCTCAGCCTCTCAGGGTGCTTGGATTACATGTGTGTGCCACTATGCCTGTCTTATTCATTGTATATGTTGATCACCCCTTGTAGATTTAAGTTTGTACGTGTAACTTGTGATCAGATTTACCATGGGACTCAGCAAAAGAGCCATTTCCAGGTGTCATGTCGTAATTTACATGCTTGATATAAAATATTTAGAAATATCTGCCTAGTATAATCATAAAGCTTACCACAGGCTTACTATAAAACTGAAAAATGTTTATCCAAGACAAACATTTAGCAAATATTCATCAAATATTTGGCAAGGCTCTTCCTCGAGCAACGCACTGGCAGTTGGTTGCAGCCTTGGATTTTGAAATCACTTGCTTCCTTCTCTTGGTCACAAGCCCAGCCACGTGAACTGCCAGGTCCTGTCTGTGCCAAACGGGGCTTGTGATGCATTATCAGTGCTTCTTGAGAGCTTGCAGGAGCGGGCAGGAGCCTGTTTCAGCCTCCCTTGACACATCTGAGGAGAGTCATGGTGACTGGGATGATCCTGGGACAGTGGCACTTTCCCCAGCCAAAGGGCGGCCCACCCCGCCTGACCGCATCTGTCCTCCTCCTCCTCCTTCCTCCCTGAGAAAACCTTTCTACTCAGCAGTCAAACTGGATTGACTTGTGCGTGTGCGGTTTTCTTTTTTTAAATAACAGTACTAAAAACTTAAAACCATTTTTTTTGTGGGGGGGGATCCTGGGGATTGAACCCAGAACCTTCACACTAAGACAGGGTCTGGCTAAGTCACTAACTTTCCAGGCTGGGCTCAAACTTGTGATTCTCCTGCCTCAGCCTCCCAGAGGGCTGGGATAACAGGTGTGCACCACCTACCGCCCCTACCTAAAAAAATGTCTTTTTTAACGTCCATGTGATATGTAAGTGGATGAGCAGCAGTGCTGGCTGTCTGAGAAAATGCACAGGAGGTGTGTTCTAAGCGATATTTTGTCTTGATAGGAGTGTATTTCCATTAAGACCAGCGGACAGTGCTTGGCTTTTCTGGCGAGCCTGGCACAGGGGCAGCATGGCTTGGTTTCGTGGCTGCGTGAGGTAGGGCTGCGGTGTGTGAACGCTGGAGACCTTGGAAAAGCTGGGCAAGCTCCCGTGCCTCGGTTTCCTCTGCAGTGTGCAGCACTGGGGACAGCGCGGGTCGTGCTGCCTTGTGACCACGGGCGGACACTCGCCGGCTGCAGCTACCATCGTCGGGGACCCCCAGACTGTCCGCTGCCCTCAGACCCCCAACACCTCCCCTCCGCTCAGCCTCAGCTGCTAGCTTTGTTTCCTGTCTCAGAAGATCCAGCAGCAATCAGACGCGGGCCCAGCTCCGCCAGGTCCTCCCGCCCACTTCTGTGGGCGCACGTGGGACCCCTCCCCCCGCCTTTCCCATCGCAAACACTGGGGCTCCCCCAGCTGCCTTGGCCCAGGTCCTTCCACCTGCACAGGCCAACTCTCTAGTGTCCTCGTCTTTGCGCAAATGTCCCCTTCCAACGAGGCCCACTCTGCACTCCCCACCCCTCAGGCCTGTGCATTCCCCATGTCCTAACAGCCTCAGCTTCACAAGCAAGGTGCCCCATTTTGTCCCCGTGCAGGCCAGGTGCTCCACAGATGCTGCACCAATGAGCTGCTTGAGCTAGGAGATGTCACTGACTGTTCGTTTTGAGACAGGGTCTGTAGTTCAGACTGGCCATGAACTACGTAGCCCAGGCTGGCCTTGAGCTTGTGGTGATCCTCCTGCCTCAGCCTTCTGAGTGCTGGGATTACGGGTGTGTGCTGCCACACACAGCTGAGATGTCACCGACTTTTTTTTTTTTTTTTTTTTTAGCAAAAACACCTGCTTGCAGCCTCTTACAGCTTTGTCAGGTGCAGCCTAGGGAGCGGGGCTCGGCCCCAGCCCACATGTGCCATCTGGGCTGCCTGGTCCTTTCCTTCTGGCAGCTCTTTCGTCCACAGCCAGGTGCAGGCACCTCTACTGCCATCACTGGAGCAGGAAACCACCTGAGCAGGAAACCTGAGCCTTCAGCTCCTTATCTCCCCACTGTCTTCATGGGCTCTTGAGCTCTCTCACACCTTTTCTTTCTCCTCTTCTCTTTTGCTTGCTGCTGCCAAAATCCTTGTTCTAGATGCTAATGTCATGTGCACACCCCCATTTACACCCCAGCCAGGGAGGCCCCCCATTGGCTCTTACAGGACCCTCCTGACCAAGTATCTGGGTTCACCTCTGAGGCCTGGAGACTTCCAGGGCTCTGGCCACACCAAGTGACACAGAGTCCTGACACAGAGCTGGCTGCATCCCATCATCCTCTGGGACCACAGTTCATGCTGCCCACAGGCTCCTGCCCTGGTCTCTGGGCGGGCTCAGCCCTGGCCCTCAGGGGACACCTAGGCTCCTGGCCTGTGTGCACCTCTGACTCTCACTGCACACACACCACTCCCCTGCAGCTCCCAGTTTCCTGTCTGGCTGGACCTCACCTTTGTCCCCGAGGCTTCCCACGTAGAACCAGGCCCTGCAGGCTGGAAGGAGGACAGGGCTGCTTTGTGCCTGTGGGCTGCATTTCTCAAAGCAGTGTCGAGAAACCCTAAGCCCCATGCAGACATCCATGAATTTAGATTTTTAACTAGGGGCGGTGCTGGGGGGGAATCAATTATTGTAACACAAGTGAGCCAGAGGCTGTGGCTTTTGTGGGTTTGTATTGGCAAACTGCAGGCATGTGACCAGGCGAGTTACTCAAGAACTACAGGGAAATCTGCCAAACTTGTTCAGGATCTGACAGGAGAGGCGCCTGTTCTCCTGGTCAGCAAGGCCGGGAGAGAGCCCAAGGATCCCCGAGTGACCAGGTGTCAGCAAGTCTGACCTGCGCCCACCTCTCTGTGATGAGGCCCCCGGGCTGCACCCAGGTTCCCCCGGAGAGCTTGTTGCTCACCCTCAGGTTGTAGCCTCAAGCCCTGGGCCATGCTCCACCAGCCTTTTTTATTTCGGTACTCGGGATTGAACCTGAGGCCTTCGGATTGAGCTACAATTTTTTTTTTTTTTCCTCCAATTTTGGGACAGGGTCTCGCTAAATCACCAAGTTGTATAGACTGGCTCGAACTTGTGATCTTCCTGCCTCTGCCTCCTAGAGTGCAGGGATTACAGGCCAGCGCCAGCACACCCCGTTTAGAGCCTCGTACAAGACCCACAGCGTCCTGGAAAAAAGGGGAGGAATGCGCCGCAGCTGGGCGGCCGGAGGTGGGGTGGGGGGGCGTGCCCAGCGTTCCGGCGGGGCTCGCCTCGCCCGGCAGCCCGGGCCTCGGGAGGCGGCGGCGGGTGGGGGAGCGCAGCCTGGGGACTCCGCGGCCACAAAGGTCAAGACGCTCTCAGGCACGGAGCACGCAGTCCCGCCCTGGGAAGAGGGCCCAGACCGTCGCGGCCCCTTTAAGGCGCCGGCGCTCAACCCGCGTCGCCCACGTGACCGGGTCTTGTGACCGCAGGGGCGGAGCCGCCCCGCCTCCTAGGCCCAGCAGCTCGGGGCCGCCGCGTCCCCGCGGGCCAGAGAGCCGAGCCGAGCCGGGCCGGGCCGGGCCGGAGCGCGCGCGGGCGGTCGGGCGGGCCGGGCCGCCATGGACCACAAGCCGCTGCTGCAGGAGCGGCCGCCCGCCTACAACCTGGAGGCCGGCCAGGCAGACTGCGCGTGCGGCGCGCCCGGCTACGGCGCCATCCCGAGCGCGCCCCCGCCGCCGCCCTATCCCTACCTCGTCACAGGTGGGCCCGGGCCCGTGCCGCTCGGGGCATCGGCACCCCGCGGAGCCCCGCGCCACAGCCGGGCCGCGGCCGCTCCCGCCGGCGCTGACATCTCCCCTCCCCCACAGGGATCCCCACCCCGCACCCGCGGGTGTACAGCATCCACAGTCGGACGGTCACTCGCTACCCCGCCAACTCCATCGTGGTCGTCGGAGGCTGCCCAGTGTGCAGGTGAGCAGTCCGGGCGGCCCAGTGCGCGTGACGGGACCGTGGGGTGGGGCAGCCCTGCTGGGGTCTGGGCGCGGGTCCTTGGTGCCAGACGCGCTCCGGCCGCAGGCTGCAGTGGGAGAGACGGCGCGCGCGCTCTCCCCGGGCTCCGAAGGTAACTCACGGGGCAGGGGAGGTGGGCTTGCCCGCCTGGAGAGCTGAGTGCGTTTTGGGGGCATTGGACCCCAAGTGAGCGGGATGTAGAATTGCTAAAAACGGGGACCGACGAGTCGCCGTTCCTTCTTGGTTCTGGGACCCGCAGGCAATCAGGGTTGGTTTTTTTTTCTTCTTTCTTCTTCTTCCTTCTTCCTTCTTCTTCCTTCTTCCTCCTTCTTCCTCCTCCCAATTTCTACAAGTTCACTGAGCAGTTGATTGTTTAAGGAGATGGAAGGTTTTGCCCAGGACCTGAATGAGGTGGCCCTCGTGTTTATTAAGGAGCCTGGGGGTCCAGGTGGCCAGAGGAGCTACAGCTGTGAGGGTCGCCGAACCCGAGCAGGGCTTAGTTACTTCTGGTCGCTAGCTGGCCCAGGAGGAAACCCCGTGGTTCTTTGTTCCAGGCAGGAGTGGCCTTTTTTCCTATCCTCAAACTGGAGCCATAGAAACTTTGAGAATTGTTGTTTCTGCAGCCCGAGGTGCAGCACAAGGCTTTTTCTGTGTAGATTATGAGGATTCAAGTTCAAGCGAGACTTGGTCCTTGCGCTCGGCACTTGGTGCTCAGATGTCGGGGAGTCGGCCTAGGCAGAGTTGGTAGCGCAGGGTTTCAGCGAAACCTTCTTGGGGAGCAGGAAGTTGAAGTTGCTGAAATGGAATTAAGAAGCAGCCCTGGTTTGGACTTAGACTTCATTTCAGAAGTTTATGTGTCAGGCCTAGAGCTGCAGAGAAGTTAATGATTTCACAGCCCTGGAGGCATTGGTGTAGGAGGACAAGGGCATCTGGAGAGGGTGAGATACACCAACCCCTAGCTGCCTACGCGGCTAGTAAAGGGAGCTCTGGCCTAGCCACTGTGCCCACTGGGGGATCCCAGGGGCACGGTCATTGCCCAGTGGACACACTGGTCTCTGGAGACCGGGAAGAGGGGAGGGAGGGAGGGCAGAAACCCGGCCGCCTCCTTTCAGGTCTCTGCAGGGTGGCACGTGCCACACTTGGTGGGAAGAGGGGCATAGCCTGGAGGGTGGGCTTGGTCTGTGCGAGAAGGGCTAAGACTCGGTGCCCTGTGCTGAGAGCCTGTGGGAAGGCCTTCCTGAAGGGTGCGTGCAGAGGCGGGGAGCCGGAGCTGAGGCTAGTCCTGGGCACACAGAGCCCTGCTGTGCTGAGGTCCTGTTGCCACTCAGCCCAGCTGGAAGATTCTGATAGCCCATTTTTGGGAGGAACCTACTTGAATGATCTCCCAAGTTTAGGAGAGCTGTTGGGCCCGCACACTAGAGGTAGGATCAGAAAGATGCCTGGAACCTGGATGTGGCGGGAGCCTGTCATCCCATCTCTCTGGGAGGCGCAGGCAAGAGGGTCACAAGTTTGAGAGTTTGAGCCCAGCCTGAGCAGTTTAGCAACTTAGTGAGACCTTGTTTTAAAAGAAAAATAAATTTAAAAAGGGCTGGGGATGTAGCTCAGTATGAAGGCCCTGGATTTAATCCCCAGTATTGTTAAGGAAAAAAGGAAAAAAATCCTGGAGCAGAGAGGTCTGGCTGGGATTTCCTAAGTCCATCCGTGTCTGCGTGCAGGGCGTCAGCTAGGGGAGCTGGGTTCAGATCCTGGCCCTGCCAGATGCAGGTGGTTCTGTTCCCTGGTCTGGGAATGAGGGTGTTTGATGAGATGGTCTGAGGGTCTTCTCTGCTCAAGGCCCTGACCTTGGAGGAGAGGAGATGGGCAGTGGGGCCAGTGGAGGCTGGGCCACGGTGAGAATGAGCAGCACTTTCCCTTTCCCCAAGGGGTGAGCTGTGTCATTTCAGAGGTGTTTGGATTCCGATTAGGGGGCTCCCCAGTTACATACACGGAACCTGGAACAAGGTCCCGCTGTGTCCCTGCCTTTGGGGAAGGTCTTGGGCTCTTGTGAGGTACTGCCTTCATCTGGAAACTGGCTGCTTCCTCTGTGCCCCAGGGCGGCGGTGGCCAGGGTGGAGGACTCTGGGTCCTTGGAGAACAAGTACAAGTTTGGGGGTGCCCAGTTCTTGAGAGGAGTGTGGCAGAAGTCAGGTGTGGTGGTAATCCCAGCACTCTGGGAGACCGAAGCTAGTTTGCACCCAGCCTTGGTGACTTAACAAGACCCTGTCTCAAAATAAAGGCTGGAGATGTATCACTCAAGAGGAAAGGCCTGGGGTCCAGCCCTCGGTCCTGCCGCCCCCCCACCCCACCCCCAGCTGGGATGGAGCTCTTTGGTCCCCACTGGGCATAGAAGCTGGGAGCACCATCTCCAGGGCACCAACTCCCGACTTCTCAGGTAGGGTCTGAGTTGCCTAGGCTGGGCAACTTGGGGAGTCCCCTGCCTCAACCTCTGACCGCACCTCCCCGGAGCGCTCTTTGGTCCTCCAGGCCCCGGAGGCCTGTGCACCCAGAGTCCTTATCCTCTGCCCAGTGTCCTCTGCTGCTGGCCTCTGGCTCCGAGGCCATGCTCTGCCCACTGCTGCAGCAGCAGCCTGGAATGAGGGGCAGCCAGCACTGCCTGTGGTCTAGGGAAAGGGTGTGTGGCCCTTCGGTGGCTGCTCTGTGGTGACAGAATGGAGATGTGCCCCTGAAAAGGGAAGCCTGTCCCTGTCTGGCGTCTTAGGGCTGACCACGGGACACTTCTCACGTGACCATACTTCCTTTCCAGATCCAGCCCGCCGGGCTGTGTCCCTTCCCTCCCTGGTGGCTTGGCATGAATCTGCCCAAGTCACACGCCTGTGATTCCCTCTGAGCAGGCATGGCAGAAGAGCCCCGTGTCCTTATCACTTTGCCGCCTGCCTTGTCTGAGCCTGTTAAGTGCCTGACTCCACCTTCCCTCTTTATCCCTTGATAAGAAGCATTTCTTACACCCCTGGCAGATGACTGAGTCTTGTGCTTGGCTCCTGCCTGTCCTCTGCATGGTGCTCTGCCCTGCTGCAGACTCCCCTTCCAGCTACCTGGCCCGAGCTGTGTCCTCGCACATGCTAGGCATCAGCAACTGGGTCCTGTCTGTCCCTACATGCGGGGTGAAGTGGCAGTTTCTGCGGCCCAGCCTGGCGGGGCCAATCTGCCTTGAAGGGTGGGGAGGCTGGCCAGGTTCCTGGGAGTACAGGTCACAAGTGGAATGTACCTAACGTGTGTAGGACCCCCACAAGTACTAGCTGGGTCGTTGTCACTAGGTATTTAGCTGTAGATGTGGCCAGAAAGCAGGAGGAAATCTGGGGAGAGAGGAGTCTTGGAAACCCAGAAAAAGTGCAGGGGCCCTAGGTGTGGCACTGGGTGGGTGGTCCTTGTGTAGGCTTCTGGGGCCTGGAGAGCACACAAGGTGACACAAAAGGCATCTGGAGGGGTCTGTGAGCGGAGGGGCCACAGCAGGGCCTGGGCCCCTGGTGATGTTGGAAATAGAAGGGCTCTGCTGCCTGAGTGGGAGCCAAGCCCCAGCCTTGCTTTGGGCCAGCTGGAGAGTGGAGTTGGCTGCACAGGGCTGAAAGGTGGGGGTGGGGTGGGGTGGGCCCTCCCCCCTCCCCCCCCTCCCCTGCTTGAGGGGGGCAGTTTGCCTGAGGCTGTAGGCTGTGAGCTGTGTGCAGACCTCAGAGGCTTGTGCTGCTTTGTGGCCCAGCCCCCGGCCTGGGTTGAGGAGTGGCATAAGCCCAGTCTCCAGGAAGCCTGCTGCACACCGTCCTGCCCTCTGCTGCTCGGAGGCCTAGGCTATGCCAGGCCTGGGCTGCTGAGAACTGCCTCTGAGTGCTAGGTGGTTTTCCTCAAGGTCCCAGGAACTGTTAAGGCAGCTCCCTGTGTCCACTATGGGGTCCTTTTGGAGTGGAGACCCTGGGCAGGCTGGAGCTGGCTGGGGACCATCTAGCCCTATCCCAGCCCTGGCGTCAGGGCTGCTGCCAACAGAGGAAGTCCTGCGTTTGGCCCCTCTTCTCAAGGGAGGACACTGTCCTTCCGTGCTCTGGACTCTGGGTGAGGCGGGCCTTGGTCCTTCCCCACAGTGGCAGGATTTAGACCTAGCCATACCACTCCTCCCAGCTTCGTGGCTGGCCTCAGCCTCCTGTGGGGATGAGGTGCCCGTGGAGTGGGGTGCTGTGGGAACACGGTGCAGGTGGCGGCTGGCAGGGCACTGTCTCTGGCTGGGTGTGGACCCTGGGACATGCCAGGACTGCCTTTTCCCAGCAGCTCAGAGCTCACTGCGCTGCCCTCCCCACCTCCTCTGCCTGTGTGGTCTGCAGTGTGGTGTCAGGAACCTTCCAGCCTGGCTCTCCGCACACCTCGGAGGACCCAGTGGCCACTGGCGTTGGGAGGCTTGAGTCAGGGGTTGAAGAGTTTTCAGGAGGAGTCAGTCCTCTCATTTCCCCAGCTCCCATGTCCTCCTCAGCTCTCCCCATGTGATCTGTCACCTGCAGCCAGGCCTGTGAGGTTTGGGTTAGGGCTCTGAGCCTGTGGAGGGTTGAAACAGTCCCAGCTGAGTTGGACCTCTCGGGTTTGGAGATGCTGGGGACACGCTGGGTCTCCCGCCTGCTCTCGCAGCAGGACCCTGTCTGAATCCACGTTGGCCTAGAGGCTGGATTGTTCCTCACATTAGGAGCCAGGTTTTAAAATTCAGAATTATGCCACCGCTCCTTTTGAGGACTGGGGTTGTACTGTAGTTAATACTTCTCACCAGGCGGGATAAATTAGGCCTACAGATAGCTACATCAGAGCGGGGCTTTTGGCTGCAAACTTAGGGAAAGTTGTACTTCTGGGTTGTGGGAGGGGATGTGGGATGTGGGCCTGTGGGTTCTGGGCTCTGCTGAAGGAACGCGGTGTGAGGCACCTTGCAGCGTTGACCCTAGCACTTGTGACTGAGAGGCCAGCAGAGGTGGTACAGGCCACTGGCTGTGAGCTCTGGCCAGGCACTTGGTGGATTTGGATGGGAGCCCGTGGGTTGAAGGGAGCCAGGCCGCTTAGCCAGTTGGGCCAATCTGTCGCTCTTCAGGTTCCCAGTATGGTTCTGGGGGCCACCTCAGAAGGTGGCCTGCCCCTGCTGGGAACCACAGTGCCGAGAGCCCAGAGGAGTGCACATGAGGGCTGGGGTCTGGATGGAGAACTAGCGGGAAGCAGGCAGAGGCTCCTGCGGCTGGACGCTTGACCCCAGAGGACAGCAGTGCCCGAGACTGGGATGGCTCCCGGAGATGTGACACAGCCTGGCGAGCTTGCACGCGGTTTGGGGCAGTGAGGCCCAGTGGCCAGTGCAGCCTCTTGCAGCAGATGCTGGGCCCCACCCCTCTCTGCTTCAGGTTCGGGTTGGCAGCACTCGCCTGGCAGAGGCCCAGCTCCATGGCCCCGGGAGGCTCTGGCTGCCTTGAGCATTGCAGGGATGGTGGGACAGGTGACCCTGGGCCTCCGGTAGAGGGCAGGCTTCCCCTCTGCATTTTCTCAGTGGGCTCGCTTTTGCTTTCTCATGGGGTCCCCTCCCCCTGGTACGAGAGATTGAATGCCTTCTCAATATTTTTGAGAGAGGGTCCTGATAAATTGCCCAGGCTAGGCTCCAACTTGCGACCCTCTTGCCTCCAGCCCTCTAGGGTGCACCATCTCGCCCAGCCCATGGGCCATTTTCTACCCGGAACGTGCAGACTTGTCATGTAGGTGCTGGGAACAAGCACACTGAGGCCTAGGAGTTCCAGGGGGCCTACGCCTGCCCGCCGGGCCTCTCACTCTGTTTATGTCTGAGGACAGCTGAGCGTGGCTCTTCAGCCAGCCTGACCCCTGGTCAGCGGACCCTGAGCCAGAGCAAGGTGTGCCGGGTGAAGTGTCCTGCCAGGCTAGACTGATAGGGGTGGCTGTGGGTGGGCTGGGAAAGCGAGGACCGGGTGACTGTGGTTCTTAGAAGAGCGTATTTTGGTAAGGGTCACAGTAAGGGGTAATCGGGACTGCTCCTGACCAGTGCTGCCTTAGCACAAGATCCCTGTGGCCCAGCCCATCAGGCTGACACCTAAAGGCCTGGCCCCTGGACTTCGAGGTGCAGCAAAGCTCTGCAGAAGTCTTTACCTCAGGAAGTAGAGCCTGTGGGCGAATGGATGCTGCTACTCCCAGGAGAGACACCCTGTCCCCAACTTGTCTGACCAGAATCCTCTCCTTTTGGAGTCAAGTGCTGAGGGAGGTGCTGCTGGAACTTCCTGTCCACCATGGGTTTGTTTGGACAGCTCTCTGGATGGGTTGGAGGCAGGCAGGCATCGGGTTTGACTTGTTCTTAGCAGTTGAAAATCCGACTTTTAGAATATCCTTATTTTCTCACACCCCTACTTTCCCCCCACAACAGGGAGGGCTGGGTCCTGGTCCAAGGAAGGGTGCCTGCCACAAGTGTGCAGGCTCGAGCTGTCCCAGCCAGGACTGGCAAGAAAGGCCACCAGCAGCCTGCTGCCCTGTTTTCCTTTATACTTGATCTTTTAAGCTGTGAGCTTCCTTTTCTCCACATGAGGTGACAGGAGGAAGAGCAGCTGCTTCCAGGCCTCCATGGGCATAAGGGACAGTTAAAGCTATCAGAAGGTGGACAGCGCTGCTAGAGAAGGCAGCTGCCGGGTCCAGAGACACCAGGACCTGGGATGGGGCATGGGGTTCTGGCCTTCTCTGCCCTTAGCAAAGGAGAGCCTGCTGTGTCTCCCTGTGCGTCCCAGAGCCCTCGCCCTTTGCCCCTTCAGGACGGGCTTGAGGATGCTCCCTCAGTGTTGTCATCTCTGTCCTCAGCAGTCTGCAGAGGCATTTCCACTGGTGAAGGATGAGCATGAGCCCTGGGACTAGGTCTTTAGACGCTTCCTGGTGGGAGGGACACTTCTCATTTTAATTTCAGCTCTGGGTCCACAACTATCCAGAAATGGCCGGAGGAGCTCTTTCCACGGGTGACCTTTACAGGGCTCCTGCTTCCTATCTTTGGAGGCTCCGAAAAGACCCTTGACTGATGACCTCAGGTGACTGAAACTGCTCAGTGGCACTTTTTATGAAGCAGCATCCTGGAGATTAAATCGCTCAAGCCTTCTAGACATTGTGTGAACGTGGTTGATTTAAGTGTTTCCTTCACCCCACCACCCAAAGCAAAAGAGAGCACACTGGAGCCTGAAGCAGGAGGCTCATATATTTGAGCCTAGCCCAGGCAACTTATTAAGACCTTGAAGAGCTGTGCATGTAGCTTAGTGCAAAGGCCCTGGGTTCAGTCCCCAGGACTGAAAACCCCAAATCCTAATTACTTTTTGGATGGCATTTTCCTTGGGCGTGGAAAAAAATCAAACTCTTCAATGGGAAAAATAACCCTAAAATGAAATGATTTGGCTTGGGGTTGTTTTCGGCTTGCAGGAGTCTTGTCCACTACAGTGCTCGGGCTGGGGCTGCCTCTCCCAGCTGTCCTGGGGAGCTTGCCCGCCATGGGTCCTAACCTGCGTGCCTCCTCTCTCCACAGAGTCGGGGTTCTGGAGGACTGCTTCACCTTCCTGGGCATCTTCCTGGCCATCATCTTGTTTCCCTTTGGGTTTATCTGCTGCTTTGCTTTGAGGAAGCGGAGATGTCCCAACTGTGGTGCGACCTTCACTTAAGAGAACAACCTGGCCTCGGAGGCCAGCTATCTTTTCTAATGTAAATGTTGTGTACAGTCGTTTTATTTGACTAAGCTTTGGGAGGGACTGTTTGTAAAGCCAGACGGGATAGCCTGGCCTGTGCCAGCTGAGGTCCTGCACAGGGTGGGAGGCAGCAGCACTGCTCCCTAGGTGAACAACAGCTCGAGAGAGCACTGCTTTTAGTTTTTGCAGTCTTCAATTTGAGAAAGGTGAGAAACACTGTTTCAAATAAATGAGATTCATACCACTGCTCAGCTGATTCTGCTTGTTCAGCGTTTGCCCACTGCCAGCGGTGTGGAACCTTGTCACGGGGAAGTCTGACACATGCAGGGCCAGTCAGGAGGCCCTGTGCTCTCAGCTCTGACAGCTCAAGAACGTGGGTTTCAAATCCTCCTTTATTATCAACATATTAAACATAACACTGCCGAAACTGCAGAGCGTGTGCCCCAGCGCAGGCCCCTCATGCCCTTCCCCAGGGAGGGCGCCCTTGAGTGGCCGCACACTGCAGCAAGTAGTCCTGGGGCCTGGGCTTTTTCCTGAACCCTGTAACAAAGCCAGAAGACCCCAAGAAGGGTGCTTGGAGGCCTGGGTGTGACCTCACCCATGTTCGCCAGTCTTTTACACATTCCTGAAACCTGCCCTCATTTGTTCTCCACTGCTGAAAACTGGGCTTCCATTAACTCTGCTCTTGTGTCTGGGAGATGGTAGGGCCACCCGTGTAAACTCGAAACCTGGCTGGGGCACCTTCTCAAGACAGTGCTGCAGGACAAGGAGGGGTGACCTGGTGCTGCAGCAGCCCTTCATAGGGGCAGCGGTTTGTCCTTCCAGGAGAGCCTGATGGTGCCTGAAGTCTCATGTCTGCTGGTTTACTGCCATTACTGAAACCTTGGCCAACTTTCAGCTTATAGAAAAATATTCACAAGTGATGAGATCAAAGAAGATCAAAGAAGCAACAGTCCCTTCCCCTACACCCCGTGGGTGTGAGTTTTGTTATCTGTTGGTCCTTGGCAGCCAGGGACAAACTTCAGCCCCTGGGTGCAGAGGTCTGACCAGAATCCTCCATGTGATGCCAGGCTGAAATACAGGCTCTGCCTTCCTGGGTCACCAGAGTCATTCTGGCTCCATTAAGTGTCTTTGAGGGCTAGTACTTGATTCAAATACACAAAAACTTGGACCCCAAGAGGTTTCCCAGTAAGTTAGTAGCAGCTGCAGCAACTCTTACTACGGAATGCTAAGTATAGCAATGGGAAGGGCTGGCAAAATTTCTCAAGACTCCAGCTCTGTCTAAATCGGGGGCAGGTCAGGACCTCTCTATCTTGGGGAGCTCTATGGTTTTTTTTGGTACTGGGGATTGAACTCAGGACCTTGTGCTTGCAAGGCAGGCATGGCACCATTGAGCTAAATCCCCAGCCCAAGGGAGCTCTATGTTTAATCAAGAGTTTAAAACTTGGAAGTTAAATAATTATATTTAATCAATTTTTCATAATTTATATTGCTTAAAATTATGATTTGCATGCTAAGATGCAAACTTACACAGTCTTTTCTTTAGATAAACATAATGCCACTTAAGAGCACATGCTTTATAAAATAGAGCTGGTCTCATTTGTGTTCAGATGCAGAAAGCCAGTCATGAAAGCACAGACTATCGCTTATTCTGGCTACAACTTAAAAAAAATCATAGGGTATTAAAAAGAGATACATTAGGGATTAGAACCAAGTTTACTATTTTTAGAGAGAGCAGGAAGAAAACATCTTAAATGATTGAGCTGGCCACTAAACTATTATTTGTCTTAAAGACAGAAATGTGTAAGCCGAACTATGTTAAATTGAAAGAATGTACTGATTTGCTCAAGTAGGGTACATGGAAAATCAGGCACCTTCTGGTGGAGCTTCCCACCGTCCCAGAACTGGTCACAGAATGGCTGTCTATCATTTTGCAGGCGAGATCTGAATGGCAGAGGAACCAGAATCCTCAGCATCATCAAATGATTGGTGCGGATCGATCATTTGTCACCGTGGGTCGGAGTTTCACAGTAGCAAAGGGGTTTTCCCCACTGGAGGAGAGAGAGAAAAGAAAATCTGTATAGAAATAACACTTCAAGATAGGAATTTGATTTTAATAACTACTGCTCTGCCGTGATGAAATCATGTCGCTCACTGCCTTCTTACGGTATACAAACTCTGGGTGGCATTTTAAGTGTAAAAGCCTCTGGCCGTTCTTCCCATGCCAGCACTGATGGAACCTTCCAAAGCTTTTTTGTTTTGTTTTGTTCTGGGCACTAAACCCTAGGCCTTTGCACTGAGCTACATCACAGCCCTTTTTAAATTTTGAGACAGGGTCTTAGTTGTTAAGTGGTCCAGGCTGGGCTCAAACTTGCGATCCTCCTGCCTCAGACTCCCTTACTGCTGGGATCACAGGCGTGTGCCACCTTGCCCACCCAATCCCGAAGCTTCCAGTAACTGACACCCAAGAGCCCGCAGCTCTCTAGTCCTCTGCTAAGAAGGGGCCATGTGGGAGAGCCTTCCTGAGACGGAGGCCACATCCTGGCAGATGCCATACTGTCCCTCCAGGCCCTACTCCCAGGAAGGACTGAAGTGAAGAGAAGGTGGCCATAGTTTTTCCTAACTCCACAAACAAGGTCTGCTCATGCTGGGCCTCCTGGGCTGGGCTCTGTAGGCCCCTTGACCCAGCAGCAGGGAGGCACCATGCTCAGGAGAGCTGCTTGCCTGAGTGCACTTACCTGAGGAAAGGGGGCTTGGCGATCCCATTTGCATCACTCTGGGGGGAGAAAAGAGGAAGTTTATTTCCATAAACTCCTGACATTAGGAATTTTAAGGTGGGTAGCTGAAGACGTGGAAAGCATGAGGACTGTTTTTGAGACTGCCTAGGTGTTTTAAATTCACTTAGAAGATCAGGATTGCACACGTGTCAGAGCAGCACACAAAGCGGCCTGCATAGGTCAGTCTGTGATGCCCAGCACTCGGCACGGACACAGGAAACCCAGACCCCAGCACATCAGAGCAAGCAACAGCTGCAGGACAGGAAAGCATTTGCTAACAGAACAGCTCAGGCTTAAGGGAAACGTAGAGTGTGAGGCTTTTATAGAGCTAAAGCCATTGTACTTTGCTTCTTGGGAGCCACATCCTGAAGGACAGCACAAAAAACCCCAGTAAAAATAAAACCTTGTTGGTTTGAGGACTGATGCCAGTTGCCAGAGACAGAGATCTTACAGGAAGTTCCACAAAAATGAGGGCGAGAAGACAAAACCAAATACATGTCGTCTACGCTCAGGCACTGGCCCTCAGCTCCGCCAGCCCTTGGCTCTCCGTCTTACATGGGCACCAAGATGCACAGCTGGCTGTGGTGCACCTTCTTCCCCACTCCAAAAAGCCTGCAGCCGTTCAGAATCTTTCCTACTGCTCCCCTTGGTAAGTCACTGCTTGAGCATGTGGGGCTCACTCTTGTGGCCCCCAGCAGAGGGCAGTGTCATACCACTAGGCTGTCCGGAAGTACCCAGAGAGCTCCCCGTGGTCTGGGGCATGGGCAGCCTAAACCCTGAGGGTAAAGGAAGTGAAGGCCAGGACACCTTTGTGACTTTCACAGCAAGAGACAGGCGAGGGCGGTGGCTGTGACCTCAGAACTGTCCTCCCTGTAGGCTCCCCAGGGCCAGGCTGCAGGGTGTTCAGCTCTCGTCTACTTCTCATCAGAGTGCAAAGCAGCTGCCCTGCTCAGGACGTCCTAAAAGGGCTGGGAAGAGCGATGTGATCCGACCGAGCACACTGAGCTTCCTCAGCAGGCCTAGAAGTTGTTTCTGGTATAACTTCATATCGTAATGTGATTAAGGGCTAATTATTTATTTTGAAAATACATTAGGAGGCCTGTTAACTGCCTGTTCCATGTGTGAGTGTGGCCATGCTGCCTGGAGCACCAAGCCAGAGCAGCAGCCTGGCACTGGAAGGAGCCTCGGAGGCCCAGGGCACAGAAAGGGCAGCATGCCCGGCCCAGTCCCCCGCCCTGGCTGCCTCTCCCCTGGAAACCACCTTCCTTTTGCCCTTCAAGGCAAGGCGCTGACCCCTCCCTGTATGGCCATCGCAAGGAGTGCTCTGTCCCGACTGGGACCCAGAGCCCCTCCACCCAGGCCCCACGGCCCAGTTATCCTCTTCCTGCCCTAAGTGAACTTTAATACAAGTTCGGCCATGTTTTAATAAGCTGGCTTCTGGGTGCTCGGCCCACGGTATCTGAGAAAAGTGATCATAGGGGATCTTTGAAAGTAATGTGGCAGAAAGCAACAACTAGTTCAGTGGTGTACATGCCTGTAACCCCAGCCCTGGGGAGGCCCAGACCGCAGGACCACAAGTTTGAGGCCAGCCTGGGCTACATGGCAACACCTTATCTCAAAAACAATGAAGCAACAACTGCTCTGAGGTGGGGAGGAAAAAAGTAACTTTCAAGACCACCTGAAGACATTCGAGTGTTGCAGCACACCCTGTCCTCAGCACCCTTCCTATACCCTGGGGCCGGCAGTCCTGCTCCCAGAATGAACAAGCAGGCCGCACATGCGGCACCAAGATGCCAGGACGCTATGGGCAGCTCTGCTGACAGCCCAACAGAACGATGGCAGTTCTGAGGGCTCCTCTGTGGCAGGCTTGGGGTTCTGGCCTGGGGGAGGGGTGGTAACAGGCACACAGCAGGGACTCCTGTGGGGCTGGTTACAGAGTCACTTGATTAAAATCCATTGTAATTTTTTTTTTCTTTTGGTACTGGGGATCGAACTCAGGACCTTGCACTTTCAAGGCAGGCAGCGGGACCACTGAGCTAAATCCCTGGCCCTAAAACACATCTCATTGTACACTTTTTTGTATATGGTATTCATGAATAAAACATTCCCTTCGCATAGTGAAGTCCCTGGCTAGCAAGGTTTTGAATTTTTGATCTTGTGAAGGCACTATGCCTTCACAAACACCGTACTTGGCATTTGAATGTTGGTTTTTTTTCAGGATGGTGGTGCGGGCATAGTCCTCTCCTGGGATGCTGGGCAGCACTTGGGGCAGTAGCTCTCATCATCCCTGAGGTCACAAGTACGCAGCCCAACTTCTCGAACTGTGCTGCTCACATGGGTTTGGTAGGTGAGGCGGGCCGAGTGCATTTTTGACTTCCCCTATTTCCAGCTCACGATGGGTTTGTCAGGGCTTGACCCTGTCTTAAGTCAGGACCATCTATGTGGGAGATTTCCGGACACTTTTCCTCTTTAACATCGATGTTTCCAGTGACCTGAAATCCAGCTCTCCTTCCAGTATGTGCTCAGCGGAGTGGCCCGGCGCCATGATTCTCCCTGACACTGGTGTCTACAACAAAGATGCTCCACTTTGTACTTTTAGTGATTTCCATCAGGGTGACCTCCTTTTAGCTCATCACTGTCCCTCCAGGGTCCCTGACGCTGCCTCCAAGCCTGCAGTGGGAGGGAGGCATGGGGGCAGGACTGGCGGAGCCTGAACAGCCTCTGCTGTGTTCCTTCCTGGAAGCCGGCATCGCACTGGTCCCAGAGCAAAACGAACAAGACTGGTGATGATCCAGGCTGAACTCCAGCGCCTGTGGGGGTCGTGAGAAGAGGGGAACTGGCTGCCTATAAGATGACACAGGCGGAGCCAGGCACGGTAGCAGATACATGTAATCCTAGCACTTGGGAGGCTGAGGCAAGAGGATTGAGAGTTCGATGGCAGCCTGGGCTACACTGAGTTCAAGGCCAGCATGGATTACAGAGACTCAGTCACAAACTGAGAAGACAAGGGTGGCAGCATCCTTGGAACTGGAAAGCAAATAACAGGCAGCTAACTGTGGCCACAAACAGGACAAAAATCCAGAACGCCTTGTGTAGACATCTGTGACAGACGGCTCGTCACCTGCTGTCTATTCTGCTTCTCCCTTCCCAGGTGCACAGAGGCGTGTGCCTCGAGGAGGGCCGCTCATCCCAGCATATCGGCGACCCTGCAGCTCAGACCTCCAGCACAGCTTCCTCCCCAGGCCGCTGGCCACACTCAAGCCACGAGGGGCCTCAAGGCCCAGCCAGGGTGAGTCTTGCCAGGAATGATGAGCAGGGACTGCAGAGGCAGGCAGTGATCGCAGTGATAAAGAGGGATGGTGAGGGCAGCCTGGATGCCAGCCCTGGACGGCACTCAGCAGGACAGAACAGAACATCCCCCTTTCTTAGCAGGCAGGAGTGGCTGGTCACCACGAAGGCAGCCCTAACTGGCCTAATTGTCAGCTGTCCTCGGTGTCAGCCACTCAGCCCGGCCTCTAGTTCACACCGCTGATCAGGTCAAGCCTTTCAATTGCTGTGAATCACTGGGCTCTTTTCTGAATCAAGGTGCCCTCGGTCCTGGCTAACACACACTTTGAAGTGCAGCTCTGTGTTTGCGAGCTCACCTTTAACTGATTATTACAAGGCTGGCTCCTGGCACTCGGGCATGTGACCTTCGATGAGCCCTGTAGCTCAGGCCCCACAGCCAGTCCTCTGAGCTCCTGGGGAGAAGCAGCTCATCTGAGAGGCGCCATGGGTAGCTAGGGGCTCTGAAGGTGAAGGTGCAGGAGCATTGCACGGCAGGGGTCTAGTGGTCCATCTAGGCTTCAGTGCTCTGGAGTTGGAAAGAAAAACCACCGTGTGCAATCGATAGTGGCTGGATGTCACACTACATATGGAAAGTTTTTGTGAACGGTGCTGAGCTTTGCTGGCTCTCGCGGATCTCAGTGTCTGGCCTGAGTTTCCCTGCATCAATAGACAGCTTAAACATTTTTAGAGACGAGTTAATCCACTTGGGTGTCAGAACTGGAGGTTGCCACGGTCCCTCACGTCCCCTCTTGGCTGGGAGGGCTGCTAGCTTTGAAGGTTCAGCCAGGGCATGTATTTCTGGACCACCCACTGGGTCAAGCTTTAAAATGGAATAGCATTCTATTTAATATGATTTGCACCTGGCTGTCCAGGAGGGTGGCACTAGCCATAAATGCACAAAACTACAATTCCACTTTTCAAGCACCCTCCACCTGTGGAACCCTCAACTGTTCCATGGCACTGTTGCTGCAGCAAAAACCCCTGGAACAGCCTCCCCGGCCACAGAGTCTCCATTCCACCCCTGAGACTGGGCCCGCCCTCCTCCCCCACCCAGCCATTGGACCCTGCACTGCCTTTGGCTGTGCAAGAGGCCGTCAAGACCAAGAGGCCTATCACACGTGGACTTCCGCTGACTGTCCGCTCCCTCCTGCAGGGCAGGGCAGGGCAGAGCAGGGCAGGACCGGTTCTTCTGTCTCGCTGGCAGGCGGCCTGTTCACCTCCCGTAACTGAGTCTCTCACAGGGAAATGTGTGATCGAAAGAGTAGGGTGAGCAGAGGATGTATGCAGTGACGGCTGAAAGGTTTTCCTTTTTCTTGTAGTTCACATGGGCTCTTGAAGTATTATTTGGAAATGTAGATTCGTTGACAGAAATGGAATATAATCGCCCTGTGTATTTGTGAAGCACCCTGTACAGTATTTAATTTTGCTGTTCTGGGGATTGAGCCCAGGTCCTTCAACCTAAACTACATTCCCAGCCTCCTCTTTTATTTTTTACTTTGAGACAGGGTCCCGCTAAGTTCCCCAGGCTAGGGTCAAACTTGCAATTTGGGAGTTATTCCCCTTCCCTTCTTTGTTTCAGAGATAAGGAAAAGTGAATATTTTCAAGCATTGGATCTGTGGTGGAAGCCCCCGAAATCAGCCAGGAACACCTTATTCAGGGAGCTTCTCACGCCTTACAGTCTTTTTTGTTTTTTAAAAGACAATTACTTAGCATCAGTGGTGGCACATCCCTGTAGTCCCAACATTCTGGGAGGCTGAGGCAGAAGGATTGCTGTGAGTTTGGGCTAGCCTGAACTACACAGTGAGACCTATTTCAAAAACCCACAAAGGCCTGGGATTTAGCTCAGTGGTTCCGCCGCCTCCCTTGCAAGTGCAAGGACCAGAGTTCAATCCCTGGTACCAAAAAAAAAAACCAAAAAAAAAACCCCACAAAAATTGGGCTGGGGATTTAGCTCAATGGCATTGTACTTGCCCCACAAATGCAAGGTCCTGAGTTCGATCCCCAGTACCAAAAACAGACAAACCCCCCACAGAAATAAAACAAAAAGGGCTGAAATGTGAAGGCCCTGGATGCAATCCCCAGTACAGGAGGGAAAAAGCCAATTACTGGTTTCTTGTGACTTTTACTAGTTGGTATTCTCCATTATCCTTTGGATCAGGAAAACAATACCACAATGTATCAGGACCTCCTTAAGCAGCACACGGATGGCGGAGTAGGAGTCTTATCAGTCAGAGTTCTGATGTGGACACCCTAGTAGCTGCTCCTTGACATTCCACTGCTGGCTCTTTCAGTTTGCTTTAGGACCTTAGGAAGCTGCTTTCTGTGCTTTCCCCTTTTCCCCATTTCGCCCTTCAGGTGGGAGCCAGGGAACCCATAGAGTGGCTCAGGACAGTGCCTCGTTGGCTCCCCAAGATGACTCAGCTCGGAGGTGAGAAAATTCCAGGCCCTCCCCATGTGTGTGTGGGTGCTGGGAGGTTACATGCTACCTATATATCTAAGCATAGTTCTATTGTCTCAAAGGAAATAATGAAATGTTAATACTAGCTATCCTGGAAGTAAAAGTATAATTAAAATTTTAAGTATTTTTTCCTAAAATTTTACCAGAAAAATCCGTTATTTTTATAAGCATAAAAAGTGTCACCTTAAAGAAATATCTTAAAATAAGGATGTGATGATTAGATATTTTAGTTTTCACAAAGGAACCCTGATCAAACTTAAGACTTTGCTTTTTGTCAAGAACTTACAGTTATGAATGCCACATGGATTTTATCATGCATTGTTGCGACCCTGGACTGTAAGCTGGCCAGCCACTGCTGAATGGGGCTGCTAATGTGGAGGCCTCAGCTGAGCCATGGGATCCCGCCCACTCAGACAGGAGGTCAGGTGAGCACCAGCTGCCGACAGTCCTCTACCTGACCTCACCCAGGAGCTGGCCCTCACCTGTCAGCAGCGACAACCACACCTTTCCACAGACCCTTTCTGGCATCAGTAAGAGCCACACAAGGGAGCCATTTTCATTAGACATTTGTACCTTTTGAATGTTCTTCCATGAAACCAATAAGGAACGACTGGCTGCTCAGATGAAATGACAAGCAGCTTTCCAGTCTGTGAGACAGAAACAGGGACCTGGGGCTGTGGAGATGGTCTGTGTGGGAAGGGGCCTTTGGGGTGTACAGCTCTGCCCAGGGCAGGATGGACGGGGAGCCCCTCCCACGAGGAGGGCGGGGCGGCCCTCAGGGTGAGTCAGGGTGGGAATGTGACTGTAGCTTCCCTGGGACCAGGCCTGGCTTGGAGGCCAGAGCACAGGTCACCTCTACAGGCCCTCCAAAGGAGGCGCATCCATCTGAGGGCAGAGCAGTGGGGAGGGAGGGCAGGCGGGGGAGGGCGGGCCCACCTCACCTGCCACCTCTGTCTGCACTCTTGGGGCGCCTCCTGGCACTGACAGCTGCTTACCCTTCAGCCGGCAGAGGTTTGAAGAGAAAGCCGGCTCAGGGCCGGGGATTTAGCTCAGTGGCTTCGCCGCCACCTGCTGCATAAACGCAAGGACCCGAGTTGGATCCCTGGTACCAAAAATAAATAAATAAATAAAGCTAGGTCACGTTTAAGCTGGATGCAAGAGAAAATGTAAGAGAAGGCATATGTTACCATCACTGATTGTACTGGTATTTAAAAACTGGGCTCTTTGATCTACTTTTGGGAAACAACTACTGCCTCAATGCTTTCTTCATCAAGCTCGATCCCCATGGTAAAAATGCTGGAGATAAAAATATGCCTTCATTTGCTAAAATGGATGACTGTCCTGTGTTGGTCAATGTGTCAGTGTTGTCATTTGTAGTTTTAGTCCTATGATTTTTTGGCAAGATTCTTTTGCATCAAAAGGCATTGTATGAGGGCCGGGGATTTAGCTCAGTGGTTCTGCCACCTGCCTCGAAAGCACAAAGTCCTGAGTTGGATCCCCGGTACCAAAAAAAAAAAAGTATGTCAGAGACAATTTCGAATCTCCATATAGTCTGGGTGAATGTCATGGCAGACTATTCTGAGATCAAAAGGCATTATATGACCTTAATAAAGCAGCTAACACCTGAGTATCAGCACCTGTTGCTAATGTCACAGAAAGAGCGGCTGTGTTGACCACCAGTGAAACACACTAGCAAAACAGAACAACCAACAAAACAAAACAGGCTCTGACCAGGCTTGAGCTCTAACTGCTGATTTATCAGAAGCAAAGAAGAGAGAAGGGGATGCAGCAAAGGACACCGGTAGAGACGTCCAGCCTGAGCAGGCTGGGGAGGCCCTCCAGGACAAACCACCAGAGTCTTCTACAGAAAATTGCAAGGAAAAAACAGAAGGGGAGACTTGTTGATAGAAAACAACTCCTGAGATTTCTCAACCAACTACAAAGTACAGAACTGACGCATGGATCCAGATCCAAACAACTATACTATGAAGGATTGTTTAGTGAGACAATTCAAAATGGGAAGTGACCTTCTGATAGTGTTCGGGAATTACTGGTCTTTGGGTATGATTTTAAAATGAGCCTTGGATCTTTAAAGATGAAATGATTTGAGGTTTGGTATTAGCTACAAATTGAACTGGAGGGTGGAGGAGAGATGAAGTAGGACTGGTAAGTGAATTGATCATTGTTAAAGCTAGGGGTGGGAGTTGGAAGACTTTTCATGTATGTTTAAATTTTTCTATACGAAAAAGTTGAGAAAGCTAACAAAAACAGGAAAAGCACTGCAAACTTGGAGGTCACATCTAAACAACGTGCCCCTGTGCTCCCTGTCCTAAGCTTTGTAGTGTGCAGTTGTCAAAGGTTTTCCTTAGCCAGAAGGAACTTTTATGCTTTTGGAAATGCCGTAAGTTCATTCCTGAATGTGACTTTCCAAACAGTTTAAATACTAGTTTAAAATGCATTGGAGCCTTTACTGAAAGAGCATGGTTTTGCCCTTTCAAACGGTTTTCTCCAGCTTTGAAACCCACTGCCATGAGAATAGAATGGGAAACCCTATTTCCAATTAATGTGTCAGTCTTTGAAAAATAATTTTTGGAGTCCGATACCTGGAGTAACCTGAAAGGATAAAAGTGCAAACAGTATATGGTGCAGTGTGCTCACCAAGGAAGAGAAGCCCATGGCGTTCTGAGATTTTGGAAGCTCCCATTTCCTGGACCAGAATATGCAGTGGTAGCTGAGGAGGTGACTACCAATAAGACGCATTAGCGATTCAGAACATGGATGTTCCAGCTTAAGGCTCTCGCTAAAGCAGAGTGTACATTTTTTAGTGGAAAAACCCATTTCATATAACTGAGAGACTTGGGTGCGCACTGCTCTCCCCTGCACATGGGCCGCCAGTCACTGCTTCTGTGGGCTGGAGAGCTGTGCAGCTGCATCCCCAGTGTGAAGCAGAGGTGGCTGGTGTGTGCGATGCGGCTACAGAAAGGGCCTCACAGAAGTGGAAAATAAGGAAAAGACGAGCAGTAAAAGAGGCATGGACTAGCGGGACCGCTGCAGCCTGGCTGCCACATCACCTGCCTGCGGGAGCCAGCAGGGAAGGTGGAGGGAGGGAGCAGAGGCCGGGCAGGCGCGTTCCACTTGGCCCCGGCCTGGCTGCTCCCGGACGCCCTGGAGTCCAGCCCGTTTCCCACCTCTGCTCCTCACCTCCTGGGCTCCTTCCAGTCCTCTCTACTCTGGTGATGATGCGACCGGAGGGAATGTCCCCAACCCATTCACAGCCCTGCTGGCTTCGCTGTACCCAGTGTGGACACCACAGCCCGCCCTTGAAACACCGAGACGCCCTCCCTTCCTCCAGCACCCATGCCCCAGCCAACCCCAGCCACTTCCATGTGTCTGCTGTGTGATGCATCAACAACAGGGTGCGTGTGACAGTGTGTTCTATACAGATCACACCTTCAGAGTGTATGCAGCACTGTATGACATTCACGCAACCACGAGATCACCACACAACACATTTCTTTTTGTTTTTTCCATTTTTTGGAGACAAAGTCTTGATATGTAGCCTAGTCTGGCCTTGAACTCGTGATGATCCTTCTACCTGAGCTTCCCCACTGCTGGGATTAAGGCACGCACAACCACCTCTGGCCAACAGCACGTCTCAGGATTTATGCTGTCATTAAACGTCACGTGACAGTACTTCTGGTGCGGAGCTCAGCAGTGACTGCTTGCTGTGTTCATGGCCAGGACTTTTAACAAGGCCTTATTAAAGGAGTGGTCTGCACCCTCCGAGCCTTCTGTGACACGCACATGCTCTCACTCTCACACCTATCTTACAGCTTCCGTGTGCACCACACTTGGGTACCTTCCTTTAACGCCAAGGCATGGACGTGGTCAGACAGGAAGGGCTCAGGTACACCGGAGGCACAGGCACCATGCCCTGGGCCTTCCCAGACCCGAAGCATGGGCTGCCGCTCCCGCTGTGCTCTGGGCCCAGCCCGCCCTCAGTCCCCTCCTGCTCTCCATCATGCCCTCCTGCTCTGTGGCACAGTTCACACTGAGAAGAATCAGGAGGGCAGGCAGCCCCTGGGCTCTGTGCTATCCTGTTGCTATCACCAGAGCACGTGCCCTCCTCAGTGTTGAGACCGTCTGCTCCCTCTGCCCTGCGGGCACCTCCTCTTGGATCCTGCCTGGCTGGCGCTGTCACTGTCCCAGCAGAAACATCGCCTCCTCTGCTCAGATGGGCGTGGCTGTGGGCTGCCGTGTGCTGCCCTCTTCAGAAGCTGAGCCGAGGGGCTGCCCTCTGGCACGTGCCCACGGGCCCAGCTTCCCTCTGACCTCCGGTCTCCATCCCGGGGTCCCCGCTCCCCGCAAACCTCACCTTGTCTTCATCCTGGGCGCGGCTTTCATCTCCACAGAGCAAACACTCTGAAGGAGCCAGGACCTCCCTGCTCATCTCTGTGCCCCAGCCCCACACTGGCCCGGCCTGCAGACCCCCGCCGCTGTCGAAGGAATGATGTGGTGCCTCAGGCCCCAGGCCCGTGCCCAGCCCTGCCTCCTTAGGGTGGCTCAGGGTTAATCCGTACACAGTGCTCATACAGCGGCTATACAGTGCAAACACTGGCCCTGGGCCTCTCCAGAACACAAGAGGAAATGAAGGAGATGCAGGAAGGGGCTCAAACGACTGAAAGACTGCAGCTGTGCCCTCAGGCTGGGGAGACGAAGCCCTTACCAAAACATAGCCAACAACCAACTAGCGCACGTAAACTGTGACCGACAAGATAAAGCAAAGCGAAGGCCTGAGTTAGGGTACAGCTGTGTGAAGATGAAGGGATCCAGAGGGACCGAGGAGAGCGTCAGCGTCCCCACCCCGTGTGGGAAAAGAGCCTTGCCGTGGGCGACCGGGCAGCGGTCACTACACTCACGGAAGACACGGCTTCGGGCCTGGACGCCGAGGCTCTGAAGGTAGAGGTGTTCTTGGCAACATCCGCTTGCTTATCGGCCGCAGTGCCTGTGGACAGACACGCTAGGTAGTCAGGTGGGGGGATGATGACGTTGCTCTTCTCGGACAGGTCCACGGTGCTGATGCTTCTCACCGGGGCAGGGCTGGGGGCCAAAAGACAGAGCAAAGTCAGGTAAAGTCCTGCCCCTGGACCCCCCATGCCCCAGAGTCCCACAGCTAAGGACTACAGTCAGGGCGGGCCACTCATCAAAGTGGGAAGCGGGAGGGGACTATGAGACCAATATCATGTAAAGCACTGTGATGCTTCTACTGGATTATAAATGCATACTCGAAAAGAAATTCTTTAAAAGGCATGACAAGACAGGAGAAGAAAATGAGTTTAATTAGGGACTGGTTGTTAAGTAATTTAATCTCAGGATACCACTAAGAAAACTTGGCAAGTATTGAGCATTTAAGGTGAAAAATTTTTTTAAGGCTCAGATTGTTTTCACGGGGGCCTTGTACTGAGCTATATTCCTAGCACTTTGAGACAACATCTTGCTAAGTTGCGGAGGCTGGTTTCCATTTTGTGATCTTCCTGCCTTAACCTCTCAAGAAGCTGGGATTACAGGCATGTGCCACCAAGCCTGGCTAAACTCAGATTTATAATACCCTAAAAATGATAGCTTTTACTTTCTGGCACAAAGGCATTTTAGCCATACTGCTAGGGATGAACTAACTGAACAAGCGGAGGACCTGAGAGATGTTGGTGTGGTATCCAGGCACTGCCTGCACCAGTGGGGTGGGCTGTGGGGGTTTCTCTGAGACAGGGATCCCTGAGTGAGCACGGGGTAGTGTAGGGAGGATGACCAGTTTGGTTTCTGAGGGCCATGGGACAGCCACTACAGCTACCTAACACCATCACGTCTAACTAGCCACACCCAGCCCAAAGGGCTCTTCCTGGGTTTTGGTTGGGTTCTGTATGTCTTGTGTGTGTGTCTCTGAGCAACTTCTTAAATGTTTTGTGACTCAGTTGCCTCAGTTTTAAAGCCGGGGCCTGTTTCTTGGGGGGGATTGTGAGGATGAAATGAGCTGATCCATGTAAAGTACTTTGGACAGTCTCCAAGGACAGCTGCTGTGAAAATCTGGACAGCTTTGAGGCTATCGGCACAGAGGTGCCAGTGAGGCCCGGGTATAGGCAGAGGCATGGAGCAGACGAGATGACTGAGAAGCACAGACCAGGGAAGGGGCTGGAGGTGGCTCCTGCTAAGGAGCAGTACTGTCTAAGTGGTGGGCAGAAGGGTAGGCTGAAGAGGGATGGTGTGAGGCAGAAGGGAAACAAGAACCCTGGGTGAGAGGACATTTCAGGTGAGTGTTCAGCCGTGTTGAGGACCGAGCCTCCCGAGCAGGGCAGCGGGGCCGGCAAGAGTCGGCGAAGAGTGAAGAGCGAAGAGGGTCTGCTCATCTCTTCACAGCAGATGGCCAGTAAAGGCTGCGGCCACAGAAACCTCTGCGGAGCAGCAATGCTTTCTACTCCACCAGGGAGGGCAGTCTCACGCGGAGGGGACCACAGATCTGGGTCGTGACGTGAACACGCTTGCAGACGTGAGGGCGAGTGTGACTGTCCGTGCTCACTACCTTGGCGTGGGTATGCTCACTGGCTCCTTCGCATTTTCTTCCAGCAACTTTGTATACGAAGACGGGAACCAACCCCTCCTGCAGGGGAAGGGTGAAGAGAGACCCGTTGGTGGCATCAGAGGCAGGCACAAGCAGTCCCGGCAGCAAGGGGGTCTGCAGGATAGCTCAGGGCAGGCTGCCCAGGCTGGCCATGTGGCCCATGAGTGGACTGCATGAAATGGAGCTTTGATAAATAAGTCTGCACTTTACCCACACACCCATGTGCATTTTTGCATATAACATTCATGTTACAGTGGACCCCTGAGTTACAACCAGCCCGACATATGAACAGCTTGGGTTATGACTAGAATTTTAGTTTTAATTTTTTTGAATGACAGAATCTCACTGTGTAGTTCAGGCTGGCCTTGAACTCTCAGCAATCCTCTTGCCTCAGCCTCCCAAGTACTGGGATTACAGGCGTGCATCACCACACCCAGCTCAGTTTTCATTTATGAAGTCCTGAGTTACTAAAGCCAGTTTTTTTTCCAGTACCAGGAATTGAACTCAGGTCCTTGCACCTGGCAAGCAGGCACGGGACCACTGAGCTACATCCCCGGCCCCAGAACAGTCTTGAGTTAGAACCTGAATGCTGGCCAATTGTGCTTCCAGATGGTCTCAGATTCAACCCTTAATGAGTTCCGGAAGGAACATGACAACATCCTTTCCTGTGTGGGGTTATTAAGAAATCCCGGGCCAGTGTCTCTCTAAGGACCCTGAGAGCTGCCTGTGTACAGGAGAGAGGCTTTGAAGGCTGTGTAGAGGAGCCTGAGCCTTCACTGACCAAGCTGAGTTACAACCAGCCCTTGGGAACGAATTGAGTTCATAAGTCAAGGGTCCACTGTATTTGGTTGCCCTTTTTATTTTTTATATTTTATGTACCTGAATACAAACTGATAACCTAGGACAGCAAGGCTTATGCATATACCTGTGGGTGAAATGCTGATGGTGACATTTAAACTATATCTTAAATCTTAAAGTGTACCTGATGTGCAGATTATCCCTGAGAAATCAAAAGTCACTATTTGTTTATTTTTGTTTTTTTGAGACAGGGTAGTTCAGGCTGGGTTTGAACTCACTGTGTAGCCCAGGCTAACCTCGAACTTGTGATCCTCCTGCCTCAGCCTCCTGAGTGCCCAGATTATAGGCGTGTGCCACCACTGGCAAGTGTCATGTAATTTAAAACAACAAAAGAACATTTAAGCCATCTGTCAGAGGTGATGCCATGTGATGTAATAATCCATTCATATACCACCTTTATCCTAACTGCACTAATACACTAATATACCAAAGGGAGCCTGGTGTGGGATAAGTCCGGCTAACCACACCCTAAGCCTGCCTTCAGCTGACGTGCTGTGGTCCACACTGACAGCCAGCAGCTGAGCTACACACACAGCACTCTCGGAGCGAGGCCGTGCCCACTGCTCAGAGGGGTGCGCTGACTCACGCTTTGGTGGCATCGTGCTCCCCATACAGCCAGCCGTCCTTCTCCTCTGGGATGAGCAGTGTGATAAGGTCGCCTTGCGCAAAGCTGAGTAAGGTCTTGTTGGTGCCAGCAGTGTGTGGAAAGATGGTCTTGACTTTCTGCTTCTTCATCATGTTCAGTCCGGTTGAAACCGAAACCGAACGCTGCAAACTGGCATCTTCCGAAGTGTCTGTTAGGGTGAGGGTGGCAGTGATGGCTTTTCAGAGCATTCAGCAGAGAAGCTGAACAACCCCAGAAAACTGCCCATTCCCATACCCCACCCATACAATACTGTGGAAACCAACTGGCAGACTGCAGGCCTTTCCCACTGCCCAGGTTTGGCAGGGTCTGCAGGAAGCCCATTTTTCTTTTTTTTTGAGACAGGGTCTCCCTATGTAGTTCAGGCTGGCCTTGAACTCACAGCTCTCCTCCTGCCTCAGGCTCCTGAGTGCTGGGATTAGAGGCATGTGCCACCACGCCTGGCTGTGGGGAGCCTACTAGGAGAAGCGTGGAGCTGGGCATGGTGGTACTTGCCTGTAATCCCAGTACTCTGGCAGGCTGAGGCGGGAGGATCCCAAGTTCTGACCTAGCCTGGGCTGCTTAGCAAGACCTTGTCTCAAAAAAAAAAAAAGAAAAAAAAAAGTAAAGAAAAGAAAAGAAAAAGGGCTAGGGATACAGCTTCCTCTGCACTGGCTGCAGACAGATTGGCTGACTATCCCAAGAGGTGGCTGGGGCAACAGCTCAAACCAGTACCGATGTCCTATGCCACGAGGCAAAGGAGCAAACTGGAAAAGGGCATCCTGGTCTCCCCAAGCACAGAAAGGATGAGGGATGAGGGCCCTCTACGGAGCCCTCAGTCGGCCATCTCTCTGCTGTCTGTGCACATAGCAGCCTCCTGAAGAAAGCATGGCCACTGCTGACACTGACAGACATGGAAACGGAGCCGAGAGAGTTCTGAGGCTCGTGAGGATAACAAAGCCAGCAAGAGGCCACACCAGACACCATCTGTGCAGAGCTGAGCCCACAGCCTCTACTCGTGGGCACCAGGCCACTCAGGTCATGCTCACCTCAACCGAAGGCAGACAGTTCCCACTCCAGAAAACACAAACTGGGATGCAGATTTAATTCAAAGCAAAGCAAAATCACCTTTGGCTTTATTTTTACAAATTCTTTTTTTCTGGTACCGGGAATTGAACTCAGGAACTTGCGCTTGCATATCAGGCACCAGAAGCACTGAGCTAAATCCCCGGTCTTCTTATGAATTCTTTTTCTTTTTTTTTTTTGATACTGGGGATCGAACTCAGGTCCTTGTGCTTTCGAGGCAGGTGGTGGAACCACTGAGCTAAATCCCTGGCCCCTCCTTTTACAAATTCTTAATAACTGCAATATAAACTTTGCTGTCTCTTTAACCTGTTACTCTCTGATTACCTCAGTAGAACTGAACCTGCCAGAAATTTTCACTTAGCTTTTACCAAAAAGAACTGCAGTCATTTGACTGACTGAGCTACAGAGTATTATGTACTTTAACATTCTCTCTTCCGCAGCTCAATATTTCCTTTGAAAGCAGTACCTACAGCCTGTCATTTCCCCTTGCTAAGCGGTCCTCACTGCCATTATGGCAATCTCTCATCTTTTGCCTAAGAGCTTCAAACCCTGTAATCTGTGGGCTCCTGCCAGCAGACAACTTGATGGCAGCCACACTCCTACTGAAAGGGCCCACGACACCCCACACAGATGGGTCAGGTGCCATGACACAGGTCGTAGGGGCCTGGGGCTGGCTAAGGACTGTGTAGGAAGAATGGGGCCTGAACAGAGAAACTGAAAATGTCTGGAAAAAAAAAAAAGAAAGAAAATGACTGCAAACAGTGACTGATCCTGATTTGTTGAAATACAGTCAATGCTTAAGAAATTTAAGTAGTCAAATTTATGCCTCTGGAAAGCATGAGGTGGCTTATTAGGGATGATGGAAAATGAGATTTCAAATTAACCCTATTACTAAGATTAATAACCATAGTTTTGTCACATGAACTTTGATAGTTTTACTGAAAAACTTTTATTATTACAGTCACCAGATATGGAACACAGTGTGAGGCTGTGTACATTCCATCCTAATTATTTACTTATATTTTTCAATTTTTTTTCAGTGTGGGGGACTGAATCCAGGCCTCATACTGAGCTATATCCTCAGCCCTTTTTATTATTTTATTGTGAGACAGGGTTTTACTAAATCCCCAGGTTGGTCTCAAACTTGTGTTCCTCCTGCTTCAACCTCCCTAGTATCTCAGATTACCAGCAGGTGTCACTGGACCCAGCCATATTTATTTTTATTTTATTTATTTATTTATCTATTTATGGTGCTGGGGATCGAACTCCGGTCCTTGTGCTTGTGAGGCAGGCGCCGGAACCACTGAGCTAAATCCCTGGCCCATATTTATTTTTAAATGTAATACTTTTCATTAGTAGGTTTACTCTCTGTCAACACCCGCCAGGATGTAGTCCTTTGGAGGTGTAAGCTACACAAAACCAGGTCCAGACATATCTACCATACCTGTTTATCTCTCCCTCACAGTTATCCAAAATGTTGTCTCACAAATTACTTTTCAAAAAATTTTTGAAAAGGTATCTTTGAAAAATAAAGGTAGCTTTAAAAATCAAAGTAGAGCTGGGCATGGTGCACACCTGTAATCCCAGCACTCCGGAGGCTGAGGCAGGAGGATCATTGTGAGTTCCAGGCCAGCCTGAACTACACAGTGAGACCTTATCTCAAAAACAAAAACAAAAACATCAAACTAGATATCTTACCTTTTGAATTGTTTGTCTTTTCTGAATTCTCTGTAACTGTTGCTGGGTTATTGAACATATCAATCAAAGGACTGGTATATTCTTTGGCTGAAGGTAAAGCTGGAGGTATCTTTGGTGAATATTCAGAAAGGGTGTCATTATCTTTCCTCACCTGTAAAAAATTCTTTATTAGTCTAATTTTAGAGCAACACAGCAATGAAAAAGGCTGGCTGGAATCACATGCTTTAAATACCCTCCCCAAAGCAGCTCCTCTCCAGCAACCATTAATGTGCTTTCTGTCCCTAGATTTTATGTATGTATGTTTGTGAACAGTAATGAAGCCCAGGGTCCAATGACAGCAAACTACAAAGCCTGAATTCATTACCCTGAATACTGTTTGCCTGAAGTGACCTATATTGTGATAAATGGCATCGGGATTTACCAGTCTATTTGCTAAGACATCTATTTCCTTCATTGGAAATAAATTTATAAAGCTGGAATCATTTTAATTAAAAGCGATCACAATAAAATTTCTAAAACAAAGACACTGGCATTAAGCGTAGCATCCAGCCACTGCACAGCTACTTCCACATCTGAAGGTGGGGAAGGGCGAGGAAGGCAGGCCGAGCTGTAGGAAAGGAGCGCTTGTGATTTCCGCCACCAAGGCATCCTTGCTCTTTCAGGCCCGATTTCGCCCAAATCCTCTTAGTAACACACAGCTAAAACTGTGAAGAGCAACTGGTTCCTACCGCACTGCTTCTCTCGGTCATAGGTGAGGGCTGAGGTGTTCCGGACACTGGCGTAGACACTGGAGTCCTTATTTCCTCTATCATGCTCATGACTTTCTGTGGCACTTTGGTGGCATCACAACAGGTTTCCTGCCACCTGGGCAGTTTGGAATTAAGTAATTCTGCTGACTATAAATCCAAAAGAAACAACGCAAAGATTGAAGAGCTAACAAAATTGTATCCAGTACTATCACTGAAAACCCGAAGGGTGGGAGCTAGAGTTTAATTCAGTGGGCAGTTTAAGCATCTATGAGCAGCTGCCGGGTCTCATTTGCCGAGGAGGCACCAAGCTTTCACACTGAAGGGACTCACCCACTCCCTCAGTGTGAATACAGGACTTACAACTAGTATGAGGGTCATAAATGATTAAGATCAGTTCAGGAACGGGGCACGTAGCTCTGTGACAGCACCTGCCGGTATGTGTGAGGTGCTGGGTGCAGTTCCCAGTGTGTGTGCCCACCCTCTCCCCCCAGTTCAAAAGGATTGGGTAGGACTAGGGATTTAGCTCAGTGGTGCCATCGCCTGCCTCACAACCACAAGGTCCCGAGTTTGATTTCTGGTACCAAAAAACAGATTGGGCAATCTTTATGAAGTCTACTATTTCCAGGCGTTCCTTGAAACGTCAGTCACCATCTCTTCTTCCCACTACCCCCAAAAGCAATACCTCCTCCCAGGTGAGAGACCCAGGAGCTGACTCTACCTCAGAGGGGCTGATGCATGTGTCAGACAAGTGAGTCAGAGTTCGTCCGGGAAGTCCATCTACGTGACTGAGGGCCACAGGCAGTGCAGCACGGGGACACTGGGAGATACCCTGCCACAGGCTGAGGCTCTTGCAGAGCAGCTGGGCTGAGCACAGAGACAGGAAGGGCAGCAGAGACCTGAATCCTGGAGGCAGAGGGGCCTCTCTTGCCCCCACAGGCCTAGCTCTGCTTCTGGAAACGACTCTCAGAGGCCCTGAAACCTTCCAGTGAACCTTTCCATGGGCTGGACAAGGGAAGGAGGGGCCTTTCCTGAAGCTTCTTGCAAGGCAGTCACACTATTCTTACCCAAACTGTAGGTCTGTCAGGGGTGGCTGGGACACCGATGTAAATCCTAGAGGAGACAAAGCCCCTCCCTGATATCACCCCGGGGGCTGGCTCCTACCCTGACAAACTGCAGCATTGCCACCCTGTGGACCAAGTGCTTGGGCCTGCTTCATTCAAGAGCCACAGGAAGTACTGAAACGTGTTAGGGGTAGTAAGTGAAGCCATAAAATAACTTTCAGATAGCTGAAGAAACTTTCAGTATAGAAAGAACCTGACTTGGTTTGTACCATTCTACAAAGCTTAACTGGGAACCAAAGTTATATGTAAGAAAGACTGCCAGTAACAAAAAATAGCCACAGAAGTTTCATGACATAGAGGGGTATTGCCATAGAAAGGAAGCTTCAAGGTCATTTCCACACCTCTGCAGCTACAATTCTGCTGTGGGGAGGCCCTTACCACGCACACAAGTTTCTAAAGCTACCAGGACACTGCTTTAACTAGTGGACACACAGTGGACAAAAGTGATAATACAGTAATTTCTTCCTTTGCTATAACAATTTTAGATCATAGGTATTTAGATTAGGTAGCTAAATATTCCTTAAAGCTGCAAAAACTTTATAGAATATATCACATACACAAGACCAAGGCCTTTTCCCCCTGACAAAGAGAGGGGAGTGACTGGAGTCTAAACTCTTGCAAAGCTTTGCATATTGCAGAGCATTCTCTAAGTTACTTCATTAGAAGCAACACTAAATATTTAGCCTCAGTTACTGCTCGTTTTGGATTCTTGTACAGGCCCAGGAGCATTCATAATTTTCTTAAAAAGGGAGATTCTGCTGCATCACAGCTCCTGGGCTTGCCAGTCCCTCCTGGGGGAGCATGAATGGAAGCCAGAAAAGCACAGGACCAGCTGTCCCGACGGGTGTGTGGCCCGAGGCAGAGGTGCGGTGCATTATCCCTCACGCCCTCCAGATGCCCCAGAACACCCAGAGGCTGCCCTGCTGAAGACACTGATGCTTATGCAAATCAGTCTACAGAAAGCTGACTCAGGCGAGAAAAGGAAAGGGTACCATTTCTCAATTACTAAGCATTATTTTACCAAGGATTTAAAATATGGATTCCGTTGCACTCACCTGCAAATGATAACGATGTATGTGATTTGCAAAGCCACAATGTTTGTCCACGAGAAAGCAGAAGCGCCTTTTCTCTTCCAGAAGAGCTTCTTTGCAACCATCTGCAATGAATTTCTGGATTTCACTCTGGCGAGAAGTAACGGTCTCTACATACTAGGAAAATAACGGATATAAGTATGACACAGGGCATCAGATAGCCGTGCAGCCTGACATTTATCTTCTGCCTCCTTTCCACTTGGCTTGTTTTGATAATGGAGTAAATACTAAACAAAGATAGACATCAAAGTTTAACTTGACCTGAGCAGATGCTATCGTCACCAAGATCCCTAACTCACCCATGGAGACAAGATGCCACAGGCTTTACATGTTGGGCAGCTGGCACAAAATACTACTCTACGCCCCGGGGACGATCTTGTTCTATGGGGCAGCACGGTGGACTTTGGAACCAGACAGTTCCAGGTTCAAATGCCAACCACAAGACGTAACCAAAGCCTCCTTTTCCCTACTATAAATAAAATGGGGACAGCAGAGCCACCACCTCCTCCCTGAGGTAGAGGAAAAGCCAGAGCAGGACACCACAGACTGGTTATCTTAACTGTGGAACACTCTTCAGCCTTCAGCTCCTGCTGAGTCAGAGTGCTTGTTCTGACCTTCAGCACCAGTACCACAGCAATGGATAAAGTACAGGCTGCCTGAGGGAGGAAAGCCTCTCTTTAAATTGTACAGATAATGATCTACAATAGAAAGAAAAGGGAATCTGGCCAAGAAGCTCACCTCAATTTCTTTGTGTTCATACTTTAGTGCATTTCGTCCTCCTTGACTTTTCCTTCTGATCTTCTTCAATTCAGCTTGAGATTTCTCCAAAGAATCTAATTTGCTCCTGTGTTCTGCCTGGTACCTTTTAAGAGTTGCCTGTAAATTCAGTGTTGTGCTTACTTTACTGCAGCGCCATCCATGCCGTCGCAGTTCCTTCTGCTCACACTTCCACTGTGTGTGGGACCTGGCCCTCACACACTCACGCTTGCTCCACACAGCCCTGTCCTGCCGGGAGCCTGCACACTCACACCCCACACCCCCTCCATTCAACTTGAACACAGCAGAGCTCTCGGTTCACACCAAAGGCCCTGCGCGAGAAGGGCAGCTCTCTGAGGACAGCAGTGTCTTCTCTTTCTTTTATTTCTTCTTTCTTCAATGGTTTTTGGACGCTGGGTAATAAATGTTTTAATGAATATATAAACAATATTACATCATATGTTTCTGGCTGTTTTATGATTTAAGTTTCAAGAGATGGCATGAACAAGAGCAATTGCTTACATTTTGGTGTGGGAGGGGGCTGTTTCTTGCTATCTAGCAGAATGTTTAAGAACACAGCATCTGGAGACTAACAGACCTGGGTTACAGTTCCCATTACCTGTGTAATCTCAGCAATAACTGAAATTCTCTGAAATTCATGTTTTCCCTCCAATCTGTAAAGTGAGGATATAAAGGTATCTATGTCATGGGGGTCTGGTGGGGATTAAAAATCAGGTAATGTGCACAGCACAGATGCATAGCATGTGGACAGCAGGCCTTGTGAAGATGACAGGCAGCTTCGGGTAAACCCTACTGCTCACTGCCATGGTAGGGGTCCGGGAAAGGGGACTCTGGGTGGCCAATGAAAGCAGGCATTCTACAGCAGAAAAGGAAGGTGGAAAGAGCCTGCTACCTTGAGGGATGGCCAGGTGGAGGTGGGGCCAGAGAGCTGGAGATGGGTGCTGCTGGGTGACGGGTGAGAGATCCCTAGTGCTCTCCTGTGTGCGACCTGCATCCTCAAGGGCTGGTCCGTGACAGCACCAGCTGCAGAACAGGCGCCGATGTCCTTTCACACAGCCATGTGCTCTGAAAACAGTGCTCTCAGAAGCAGCATGTTTTTCTGCAACATTTGTTTCTATGCTTTTTAATACAGACCCCAAGTGGTAGCAAAAACAGGCCCGCTCAGCCAAAAGGGACCTTATTTTACACGTCTGAGTCTGTATCAACCCTGTACTGCAGCCCCATCTGCTTGCTGTACTAAAAAGCAGGGAAGTAAGTTCTCTTCGGCTCACAAGTCTGGCTCACAGGGCAGAGTGGAGGGAAACTGTACACTCACATGCATATATTTTACATCAAGTTCTGTTTTCTTCTCCAGCTCATGGATGATTTCCTTATGGAATTTTCTGAACTGTTCACAAGAGGAAGTAAAAAATTTACACCAGGTTTGACTTGCTTTAGGCAAAATTTTAAAAATAAAACAAAACCATTTTGCAAATATAAAAACAATCCACATACATTTTCATCAAGTGTCTCATTGAGTTTCTTGTGGGTGCTCGAAATCTCTATGAGGACATGGCCTGTGGGCAAAATCAGACACGTTAGGGGAAGCCAGAGCAGCGGTTTGCAAAGACAGGAGGGGAAGCAAAACAGCAGAAGGAGATGCAGGATGCAATGGCCCTGAAACACGTCAGGGACAGGACTGGTCCCCAGGGATGGGTTCCGGGGGGAACAGCTGGGAGTGAATTTCTCCACCATCTTAACAATGCCCGCTCTGACTTTGGATTCACTGTTCTTTCTCTTTACTTGTTCCCTAAGTCAGGTTCTATGTATCTGATTTAATCTCGAAATTCTCTTACCAAAGATTCGTCAAGTCATCACAATGACTAATCATAGGAACAAATGATTTATTTTTATCTAATCCCTAGAGTAATCTGATTATTTTCCAGTTATAAGAGAAATGGCTATTTTCTTCTCATGTTCTTGAAGTGCTCCGAAAAACATCAACACCAGGGAAAACTGCAGCAGGATGGTGTTCTGCCTGGATCCCTGGGATGACACCACATCTCTGAAATGGGGCAGTCCTGTGACAGAAGAGAATACCCCAGGACAAAGGAGGCTCATATCAGAAAATGGCAGTAAGACCATGTGGATGCAGAGCTCATCTCTTCTGCAGCTGGTGGCAGTGTGGTAACGCCGCCACTTTTCTGTGGTGCTTAAGAGGCGAGGAAGACAGAATCATTTGGGGCCACGCCAGTTCCATATCACACCAAGGAACAGCAGAGGGTGCCAGTGGATCGCCCTGGTGGTCAGTGGCCAGAGAAAATTCTTCTGGTGAGCTGAAAGGAAGGATGAACATTAAGACTGGCAAATGGAATCCTAGAACTTCAGAGGCAGAGGCAGGAGCACTGCAGTGAGGCTAGTCTGGATTACGCAATGAGACTTGTCTCAAAAACAAAAACAAAAGACCAGGAGAATGTGGAGAAAGAGAGGACACAGAGCAGACCACGTCTCCTGCTGTCACACTCCTACACAGGTGACTGCAGCATGGCCTGTCCTGGGCTGACTCTTCAGACCACCACCCCATCCTCTCCCTCATCTTCCTGCTCAGAAATCCTCCCTTCAGGGCTGGGGATCTAGCTCAGTGGTGCCACTGCCTACCTCATAAGTGCAGGGTCCCGAGTTCGATCCCCGTTGCCAAAAAAAAAAAATCTACCCTTCATCCTGACACAGCCACCTCATAAGCACCTCACATCTGACCCTTGTACGAGTGACCTCACCAGCTGCCTGTGTCCTCTCATCCCAGCCAGCCAGTCACGGGGGAAGGGGGACCTCTCACCTATGAGTCACGCCCATGACAAGACTCACTTGCACTGGGTGTCACTGTGTGGGGTGCCTCGAGGGTGGGACATGCCCCTCCCTCACACCCTGCTCAGGAAGCAGGGAACCACTGTGCTGGCCTTTCCCAAGCCCTGCCTCCCTTCTGGCCCAGGGAACGACATATGACAGCAAGGACACATGCTCCCCCAGGTCTGTTCACCAGGGCCGGGGTGGGGTCTCTCCCCATCCACACACACAGACCCTGCCAGATGGGGCTCTTAGGAGGACATCTTTTTCCACACCCATAGGCTCCACGCCTGAGTCAAAACCATCTCAGTGGACTCCTGGTGTGTCCTCTTCCGGGTCACCTTTACAGGTGTTCGCAGGTCACTCCCCTGTTTCCTCCATGGTATCCCTGATAAAGTGGCTCCTGGGTGACAACCTGAAGCACCCATGAATGGTGTGCCTAAACCCTGTGGGTAACAGGGACAGAGAAGCTCCTGTAGGTACATGAGCTGTGAGGTACAGTGAAATGTCTTACAGCCTAGGTTCTAACAAGACAGCCTGCTGGATCAGTGAGAGCCAGAGCAGAACCATCCCCCACACTTAAGGCTTCCCCTAGCAAACTCACAAGCCTCCCACCCTACGTCCTTAAGAATGCTGACCCAAAACTCAAACAAAACTCAAATCAACACAAAACAAAACAAGCTGAGCCTGGAGGCACACGTCTGCAATTCCATCTGCAATTCCAGCACGTCTGCAATTCTGTCTGCAATTCCGTCTGCAATTCCAGCACGTTGGGAAGGCAAGGCAAGAGGATCCTGTCTTGGTTACTTTTCTCATTGCTGAGACAAAATACCTGACACCCAAAGATAAGGGAGGAAAGATTTATTTAGCTCACAGTTTGTAGAGGTTTCAAAAGTCCACAATTGGCTGGCTCTAAGGCAGGGAGGTATGGCAGATAAGCATTGCAGAGGAGAAGTAGTTCATGGTGAGCAGAAGGAAGCAAAACAATGAGGGATGGCCACAGCTCTTTCTAGCCCATATATATACACGTGTGTGTGTATTTTTTTTTTTTTTTTTTTTTTTTTTTGGTACTGGGGATCAAACTCAGGACCTTGAGCTTTCGAGGCAGGCTGCAGCACCACTGAGCTAAATCCCCAGCCCCTAGCCCTTATATTTTTATCCAGGCTACTTAGGGCAAGTAGCACTCACACCCTTCATCCTAGTGCCCTTGAGCCTAGCACTGCACCATGAATCAGTTCCAGTATCACACACTCTAGATCCAGCCACCTCTGAAAAAGCCCCACCTATGGGCCTGAGGCTTTGGGGGGACATGTAGACACAGCCATAACAGATCCCAAGTTTGAGTCTTGCCTGGGCAGTTTAGCTAGATCTTGTCTTGAAGCCAGGCATGGTGGTGCATGCCTACAATCCCACCATTCAGGAGGCTGAGACAGGAGGATTACTGTGAGTTCGAGGCCAGCCTCAGCTACATAGTGAATCCAAGGCCAGCCTGAACTGTACAGTAACACCTTGTCTCAAAACAACAACAAAAGCAACAAAAAGATCTTATCTTGAAATAAAAAACAGGGTCGGGGATGTGGTCAACGTGATGTCCCTGGGTTCAATCCCCAGAACCAACCAACCAACCAACGAAACGGAATTCTTCACAAAAGAAGCCTTCACATGGCCAAGAATATAATTGCATTAATATGTCATGTGGTTATAATTTAGTCATTTCAGGTATCAAAATATTGTGAGCTACCTTTACATTTATTTTAACCCCCTAAACAATTCCTTTCTGGAGAGGAAAAACAAAACCCACTTTAATTCTTTGAAAGTCAAGCACTCTATTCTTGGCAAGTCAATCTACTTAGAAAAAAAAGTCTAAAAGTAATTTGCCTTAAATCGTCAGAGCGATTGAGGCTAGAAGCAAGACAATCACATTTGTTTCTCACACTGTGCTCCTTTTCATGAACTTTTATTTCCATAACCCCACAGAGAGTGACCTCTGAGAAGTGCCCAGTGTGCTAGTGTGGACAGATGCTCCGGTGAAAGTGGACATATCAGACTCCTGCTGCACACCGCCCCTTACACTGCACCTCCTCCTGGGGTTTCTGCCACTGCAGGCGGAGGCTCCGTGAAACAGCCCATTCACTGCAGCAGGAAGGGGACCCTTGACCTGTTATTCTTGTCCCTCACTGTTGGGGGAATTCCAAAGGTGGCCTCATAGCAGCAGCCACTGAATCCTCAGCCATAAAAGGATTAAAACACACCTTGGCTGCAAAGTGTGTCTTTTTTTTTTTTTTTCTTCCGGTACCAGGGATCAAACTTAGGACCTTAAGCTTTCGAGACAGGTGACAGAACCACTGAGCTAAATCCCCAGCCCGGCTGTAAAGTGTATCTTGAAGCAAAACACAAAAACTATGCTCTGTTCAATATGCAGAAGTTTAATCTTAAATTGAGCAAGTGTTACTTCATGTTGCATCTGCCTACTTAGCCCTGTAACCTACTTTTTCTATAAATTACATTTGAGAAAGGAAAAAACCCTGAAAACATTCAAGGGTGGAGCTGAGAAAGCACAGCCCAGATTCAAATGGAGCAGAACTGAATGCGTGCCCCAACAGGAAGCCATGCCACCATGCACACTGCACCAGAACTTCCCTCTCTCCCTTCGGGTTTGGAGCCAGCATTTTGGGAAGAAATTCATAGTAATTACAGTCATGTGACTCTGTCTGAATAAGTTATATTGTGAAGTGGCAATACTAAAGGAACTTATTATTTAAAACATTTTTTGTGGTGCTGGTAATTGAATTCAGGGCTGCAGGTGTGCCAGACAACCAGTGTATCACTCAGCTACACCTCCAGCTCAAAAGAATTAAATATATCTGCATTTCAGAATCATGAACTCAACCAAAAGACAGTGTTTACTATCATTTTTTCCCTTAAAATTCATAAAAATAGTGGCTTACAGTGGTGTTACTCTAATTATTAGGAACTATGAACAAGAATGTCCAACATTTTGAAGAATATTATATAGGTTATGCATTTGGCTAATAGGCAGTATGGACTGAGAATGTTAAATAACAAAATTTAAGGGATATTACTGGTATGAGGAGGTCACTGGGCCCTCCACCCTGTTTTGGTGCTGGAGATGGAACCCAGGGCTGGACTCATATTAGGCAAGTGCTCTACCACTGAGCCACAGCCAAACCCCCACTGGACTACTCATACATTTCCAATTAGACAGTTCTTCCCTAAGTCATAGTAGCACAGAACATATGCCAAATATACAGGCACAAAGGATTCTCTCCATTTATATCTGGTCACAGATCATCACAATGCACTTATTTCCAGAGAGCACAGAATAATGACCGAGTCACATGCCACTTCCTACATGTTACTACAAGTGGAACTGGACGATAAAATGACTGGGTGGAAGCCAAACTATTACTGGCCTACAGTTATACTGTGCAGATTACAGTGAGATACAACAAAAATGTCACTGGAAAAAGGATACAATTTTCCTAATATCAAATGCAATGAGAAGAAAATATAATAGGAGTAAAAAGCAAAGTACACGTTATAGCACATGGGCAGGTGTGCATGCTGTAGACTGGAGTCCCCTGCACTGAGTTCACACAGAGGCAGCTTAGTGACCACCAACACATGGCTACCCTGGAAAGGCTCTGCGGCCTCTAAGGTGTCTCTCCATCCCCAGATGTGGTCAAGGAGCCCACCTGGTCAGTAACAGGCT